CAAGGCTGACAAATTTTACATAAGCTAAATATTTTATGCATGCAAGCTCATGCCAGAAGAAAAATCGGGTATGCTCTCATGCTCTCCAACCCTCATTGCAGACTCGATCTCGCGAAAACTGCCATCAGAGAAGACGGCTGAGAACAAGAGTCTTGCAGTTTCCGTGTAATGTCACGAATAACCAATTATCGGTCCGCAAAAATAAAAAAAATATTCCGTGACGACTAGCAAGTTATAACTAGACAGTATGTTTTAGTGCCACTCAGGCTCCCAGGCAACTATTTCTGTGTCATTCCTTCTCTTTTCAAGCTTCATACTAGCTATGCATTACTCCATGCCTTATGAAGAACATAGCGAATATTATTGCGAAATATAAAAGTATTAAAAGTCAAAGGCACTATTAATAAAATTGACAGGAATGAAAGAAATGTAAAAGCATAAGACAAGCAAAGACAGACAAAATAGAAAATTAGAAAAATTAATTACACGCACATCGTCAAAGCGGATAAAGGTGAGCACATTGAAGGTGAAGGGAAAACTGGTGCTGATTCCTTCTTGGAATTGACGAATCATACTGGATCGCTTCATTCCTCATAAAGATCAATTACAGCGAAGAGGGAGATTTCCTATGGTATCTCATTATGCGTTTATGATTATGCATGACTCAGCGCCAGCTTTTCAAGCATCATATCAGGGAACACAGAAACATGAGCAGGAAGACAACAGGAGTATGCTTTTCTTCAAAATATCAAGAAACGAGCTGGAAACAAGTGGAAGTAAGAAAAAACTCGAAGAGGTGCATCAATGCTCTACATAGGCATAATGAAGCAGACAGTAAAGTTCAGGCGATATTTAAATTCTTCTCATTTCGCTCTTTTAGTGCAAGAGGCCGATGCGCATTGACTACGAATCGTTGCAACCAAGTCATGCCTAAACGATCTGTAAGCGTTTCAGTGTGCTGGCGATTGCATGATGCGAAGCACTCAAAACACTGGTTGCAAGCCACGCGGGAAAATACTAAAGGGTCATTCAACAACACAGCAACGACACTCCTGAAACTGGAAAACCACACAATAACGAAGTCCGACGCACCCAGAAACATCGCCTTGCCAACTCTCACCTGGCAACTCATCAATATTCACACCGGAGGCGCAGCAGATAATCATAACGAGTTTGAAAGGATAAAAGGAAAAATATACTGGAAGAGCCTGGTGCAAATAAATTATTAAATAAAACAGGCTTTTATACCACCTGTATGAGCTGCTTCAGGGACTTGAAAATGACTCATCCTTGCTAGAACATCAATTACACTATTACCAGAGTTGGCTTTTAAGTGATTTGTGACGCTGCTGATAGCCTTACAAAACACCATCTGTGCTTAACCCAATCCAATACACTTCTTTCTTTCGACTATCCGGTATGCCAGAAAATAGAATTTATTTCAAGAAAATGAGAGGAAAGATATGCTTTTTGCAAGAAGTATTCTTAGCATCATTATTTCGGAGGCACTACAATGCTACTTCTCAAATGCTTCTACTTTGTTGTTCTTATCTTGTTACTGAGTTTGAATGTGTGATTGCACCATAATGCTTCTTTTTTAAAATTCTATTACGAGCATATATCGCGATTGTATTGGAATGGGTTTCTATTGCATGAGAACAAGAAGTGAAATTTAATTGGTTTTAGCTTTGTATTCCTGCATAGCTTAGCCAGTCATGAGAAACGTCACACCCGGTCATACAGGATGTCCAAAAACAAAGAATATTGGTGGGTTGGGAATGTATAGCTGTGTTTAGTCCAAACCCAATACAGACTTAGCCTTTTGTGAATCAAATTTTTTTTTCTGACGGTGGCACATCAGGTCCAATTTATTTCCCCGAAATATGCACTCATGTTATTGTAATATGGATCGTGCAACTGCGTTTGCATCAATAAGCAATCAAATTATTAAAATCGCATGAAATTAGTTTTAACGATTATCACGTTCAGAACATTTCCGACACAGGACCGGAAAAGGAAATTTCGACTGAATATTTCTGCATAAGACAACGGGTGACATGCACCGAATCCGTTTAAGCTACACTAATCTGATCTCACAATGGTTCCCTATGGGAATCAGTTTAACCGAGATAAACCTACTCCCATAGACGCCCATTATGAAAACGAATCGATTTAAAGTTAAATGGATCTGGTGCATGTCACCCAACAAAGGCTAATACACAATTAAAAATAAAACAGCGCTCTTCCCCGTGCTATTTAAGTGGATATTACCCTCTCTTTCCTCGTTCACTGCTAAAAATTCAGAGCAAGGATCACAACAAATTCTTTATCGTTGGAAAGGTCTCTAAGTTTCCTTTGGTTCAGTATACAAAGCATGACGACTCTTACAGGAGTTTCGATAGGGCGATCGAGGAAAGATTCAGGGGTTCGTCCCGTCAGCTGCCTCTCCACCACTGTTTCTTTTGGAATGGTGCACCATCGTATAATTGTATAACATAGTATAAGTCATATACCACTGCAAATATGAAATAATAAATTATTTGGATTTGACAAATGCAAATTGAATTTAATAACATGGAAAAAGGAATTTAATTTATCCTATTACTGGCTTTATTTGTAAAGATTCTGGGGCTGTTACATAGCAACTGGATTGTACTGAGGTAGGCAGCAATACGCAGGTTGAAAAACCTAGTAACAAGAACTATTATAAGAGGAATAAAAATACAGGGTTGGTCAAAAAATAAGTAAACCACTTTCAACTTAATCCATATTTTCGAATGGATTGACTTGAAAATTTAAAGGAACTTTGTCTAATATGTTCCTGGAAAGCTATTGAATTTGCATCCACCTTTGGCCACCCACACTTGGGTTATGGCAGATTTTATCAAAATGGTCAAGATTCTGAGTGAACAGGCATGCGACTGCTGTTGCGAGGCACAAATAAACATTTGCTTAGAAATGCCTGGAAATTTATGCATATGCATGACATTTTCAGATGGTAAAAAACACACATTCACACAACGTCCTGTTCAGCTTTCACGATGATCTGTCAAGAGAAACATTTTTTAAAAAACGGAAATAAAATGTGGATTCATGCTTTGCAGCAGCAGTCACATTGCTTTCACTTGGGATTTTGACCATTTTGACAAAATGTGTCATAACTCAAGAGTGGATGGCCAAAGGTGCATGAAACTTCAGCAGGTCTTCAAGAACATATTAGACAATGTTAATTTAAAATTTCACGTTAATCCGTTCATAATGATGGATTTTATAGCAAAAATTAAAAGTGGCTTACTTTTTTTTGGTCAAACCTGTAGTTCACCCCTATATGGGGTGAACTGAATGACCGAGATTGTGAGCACATCCTACCAGTGCAAAACAAAAATTTTCAGGAAATGATGAAGTCCACATTACTAATACTTTATTTTAAAGTATTATAATATATGCAAAAATGGGTGTAGAGAAAGAAATCTACCCAATAGGACCAGAAAGGCAACTCTGCAGTAGGAGGAATCAGAAAAGATTTGGACATTTTAAACTTTGCAATTTCCTGAAAACAACAAGAAAAGGGCTCTCCTTGAATTTCTTTTTTATAATTCAAAGTCGACTTCTATTTTCATGAAGATGGTTTTTTCTTGAAAATGTAAAACTTTTCCTGCACATTAAGTGAAGCCTAACACAGGCCTCCAGGACTGGCAATCACATGAGCCAAGGTCATCATTCAGGGAATCCGAATATTCAGTATCACTTTCAAGAATGGTAGGCTTTGAAGAATGATTCAGGAGGAACCCTCTTTTTTCTTGTAGCTTTTGGGGAACAAATCCAAGCCATAGATCTCCCCTGATGATGTCAAGACTTTTCACAGATGCAATGCTGAAAACTAGCTCACTTCAGTTACTCTACTCAGTTTCTGCTTACTTGTATTGAACATACTTATTTCTCCAAATAATCTCTTTCATCTGAGCTCAACCTTTTTCAAGGGTTGGATATGCCTTTAATGATTGTATTTAAATAACCCAGCCAAATAATCATTAATATTCTAATATATATGCAGTTCATCCAGAAATGTCTCTCAGAAACCAACAGTTCAGGATATGAATTTGGAAAAAGAGAGAGAGAGGGAAATAACAGGAATGAGTGCCACATGCAAGAACTCAGATGCTTGCCTCTCCACAACAATGGGTGTTAGAGACTTGAGATTAGAGAATGGATGTATTCGACATGAGAAGCTATGGTGAGTCTGATATCATTTTTTGAGGTTCACTCAAAGGAAAATGCAAGAGAATAGTGTCTTTGGCCAGGGAGGGAGTGAAAGAAGGGGGGAAAGAGAGAAAGGAAAAATTCGCAGGCTCCACCTCTTCCCTTATCCTTGCAACACAGGAATTCAATATCATCAATGATTCACTTCAACCATGATAGACAAGGGGAAACCCTAAACTGAAGATCAAGCTGACAGGATCAGATGAAACGACAGCATTCACAGAGTGATTGGGACAACATTTCATACAGTGATTAGGTCTACTCTGTTTTTGGCAGATCCAGAGGGAGCTAATTACAAATTCATTGGTTAATAACTGAAATATTCTACAATTCATTGGATTAATAATTATTATTATCTATTGGGCAAAAATTTTAAGCTAGAAAAACATTTACACATTCATATAAAAGTTTCTATGTTGAGATCATATACTTGATCTTGTCTCTCCCTGTTTCCTTTTTTCTTAAGAGTATTATGGATGCCATGGGAAGGCTCTGTTGTATAGGGTATACAGACTTCCATATTTAAATCAACAAGTACCCATACCTGTAGAAAGCTGTACAGCTTTTGGATTTGCTATTCAAGGTATACAAAGAAACAGACTTATGGAATAGAGCAAAGATCTGATTGTTACAAATGCATCAAAGATCCATAATGTAGAGATAGAAACAAAGATCTGCATGCCATAACCACAATAAGCACTCTGGAGAATTCAGAGATACATGAAAATTCTGCCACTCACCATTGCATAGAGATCATTAAGGAGACCAAGCCGATCCAATGGAGGCAATGTCTTCCCCTCAATTGCTGGTTGAAAGCGCATTAACAAGTCCTTCTCATAGCAAACTCTGTAGAAGGCAACTGTCCCTGGATTCAACTACAAAGACAAAGAGAAGTATGCATGAATTTGGACAGACCAAAGCTGAGACAGAAGCATGGCAAGGTGTAAGTATCATTTAGGTTTTGATTGAATTGCCAAAGAATACAATGGACTCCATCATTGTATACTAACTTTAATTTAATGAGCATCTAGTAAGAATGCATTGTTCCTCATCATGTCCAAATGGATGAGTAACTTTACCCTCCATTTTCAGGAATGAAACCTGGCCATTCAGCTAACATGAGACAAATGTCCACACCAATATTCTTAATCCACTTTCTTTGTGGTATGTTTGCATGCAACATACCTCATGCTGCAGACTAGAACCAGAGAAGTTTATGAGTAGTGATATTTTTTTGGGCTTGTGGGCAGAAAATAGTAAGATAATCATGTCCACTTGATACATGATTGTAGCAATAATGGAAATATACTTCAAAGTAAATATCCACTGTCTTCACATCATTAAAAAAAAAATCCAATAGCTATTTTTTTTTCAATAGTGAATTGTTTGTTTGTATTTAGCTATTAGTTTAGATTATGTTATTTAAAAATACCTTAAATAAGTTAGAATAGCATTAGAGATGCAGCCAATTACACACAGCTAGCTAATCGGTAAATAATTCCTGAAAATGAGGGAGAAATTCTTATATTTCTTTCGGCAAGGTGATGGAAAATTATTATGGTCTTGTTGAAAATTCCTAATACAAGGAGATGAAGTAATTTTAAGCATGTCATGATCATCAGTTGCATTATCATCCTCTGAATCAAGGCAATGATATAGCAGCATCTAATGTTTGGTGGCATCATATGAAGACAAGGCTACAGCCTCTTCACAGTTTGCACAAACTAGAACTTTTAGCCTCTATGGTGATGCCAGGTGTGAATATATGAGCCCTTCATCTCCTCTGATCCTTACTGACCAAATTCCTTCAGTCCTCTTCCTCCTGACGTCAGGAACTCTTTCACTTACCCACCTCTCTGCACATGCTATGCAGACATCCAATTTTCTGGCTCTCTATGATGCTGAACCTATGTATGATGATGACCTTCAGTTCAAAACATTGGCTGTCAAGTGCATCACCAATTATACCAGGGCATATTTTAAGAAAAAATCAGAACTGCACAATGATCCCCTCTGGAGGAGTGGTTGGCACAGTGCCCACCCCCTGTGAAAATTTTGGAAGAAAGATTAGATTTAGCACATTTTTAAATTGAAGTTTGGTTTCAAAATGTAATTCTTGTCCAATTTTGAACTACAAAAAAATCCCATTCAGAACTGCACAAAATATTTCAGAATTGCAAATATTCTGTTGCAACTGCACATTAAAATATGCTCTGCACGATACATTTTGCAAGTTAAAAATTCTGCTAAGCAGTCAACATGTTAAGATTTTCCTCTTCATATTCACAGTCCTCTACTGCACCAAGTATGGGCCCTGTAGATTTACTACAATTTCTGCATGATTGAGAGGTTAACAAGGCTAGATTTAATAGTGGAGTGAACCTAGCTATTTCTCATTCTCTCCACAGTTCAACAATCAATAATTATGGAATTTTCAATCACGCCAGATGGAGATTCTCTCTGCAAATGGCCTATTGTGAAAATTAGACCTGTAGCTTTCTCTATACCTTGATCATATGAAAGCCTAATTCTTTTTTTAAATTTAATATTAGAGGCTCTCATATTGCAAAGTAGGTTTCCCTTTGCCTAACCACTGACATCCATCACACTGCAAAGTTTCCAGGAAGTCAATACTCAATGTAGTATGATTTCCAACCCTAAGAGCTGTTCAATGAAGAGGGTGCCATTTTTGGCTTAATGCATAGTCCATCAGTTAATCGGTGGAAGCCTCATTAAGCATGTTTATGCTGTACCTCCCCTTCTTTCCTAGTCTAATTAGTACTCAGCCATACAGAATCTGACCTAACTTTGTCCATCACATTTTCCATTGTGTGCCCATTTATGACCCGTGCTCCTATATGCCAGTTAGGACCCAGGTCCTAACCAACACCAGCACATGCCACCATGTCCATTCAGATAGTATCAATGAAAGAACATGGTCCACTTTCTTGCTAACACACTGGAGAAACTTGCAGGCCAAGGCAGGTTAATTCAGATTTAGATTTACAAAAATTTTGACATTCTGTCTTCAGCATCAGAAATATAAATTCCACAAACAAAAACAGGCATTGAAAATATTAAAGGAAATATGACACAGAAAAATGAGCCAAGCAAGATTTTATACACAGGGTAGCATACACCCACAAAGAAACCAATTCCATCATTAAAAAGAGCTCCTTCTCTTGAGAGTATATATTGCCCCATTGCAGACCAGTTTTTTTCTGATGGTAGCAACACAATGTCCAAATTATGAGGGGCGTTTGAAAAGTAATGTCTGTTTAGCTATAAATGCTGGGTTATTTTAATGGTATTTGGTATATATTTCTCCCAACATTCCTCCATACACATATGGTATAACTTTTCTTTATCTTATTCAGGAGCCAAGAAATGAGCATGACAATGGACACTATAATTTGTCAGCAGGCCATGATTGAATTTCTTGTAGAGTCTGGTAACAATTGTTCCACAAGAATTTATAGAAGCTTTCTGTGGTGTATGAAGAGAGCAAAATTGATGTCAGCAATGTTTGGAGATGGGTTACCCATATCAAAGCTAGGGAAATGGACTGCACAGATAAACCTAGGAGTCATCAACCAAAATGAAGCTCACATGACCACCTGGTGCCTGGTGAGCTTCATTTCAGCAGTTAGCACTTTTAGAACTCACCAGGCACTGATTTTTCTGTATCATAATGAGTCAATTATCTTATCTATAATCTCCTTTGCACATCCCAGCTTTTGTGCCAAATCACAGATTGTCACACCATGGTCTGCTTCTGTCTGCTAGATTAATCCATCCACTTTCTGCTGTTTTCTCAACTTTGGAAACACTCGCTGGTCAACTGCTCCAAGGTTTATCTGTGAGATCCATTTCCCCAGCTTTGATCTGGGAAACCCATCCCCAAGCATTCCTAATATCAATCCTGTCATCTCCATAGATTGCATTAAGTCTCCAATGAAATGTGGTGGAACAATTATCACCAGCCCAATGAATTCAATTATGGCCTGCTGACAAAATAGTGTCCATTGTCATGCTCATTTCTTGGCTCCTGAAAAAGATAAAGGAAAGTTATACCAAGCATGAGTGGAGGAATGTTGGGAGAAAATACTGGTATATACCAAATACCATTAAAATAGCCCCACTTATACAACACTTATAACTAAACAGGCATTACTTTTCAAACACCCCTTGTATTTATATGAAATATATACAGTTATACTCATGTAATTGTCCAAATGAATTAGCATCAATAAGCAATCAAATACAAATATTTCCAACATGAGAATGCAAAGGGTTATATTCATGAGATCTTCAAAATGCTCTCTGCTTTAAGGGCTGGCTGCATTACCAGCAATTGTCCTTGATTGAAAGCTGCAATTCCAGAAAGTCTATGGGAATGATGCTGACTTTAGCATGGATCTCTGTCATCAATTCCTTGATAAGGAAGTCTAGAAAAGTGTAGTCAGATAACATGGGGGGCCTCTTAGTGAGGCCAAATCAACCCATCTGTTGGCTATGAAATTCAGCATCCAGAGTGAACACACTTGTTTGTCTTAATGCACCAAGGTACCATCCTAAGAATGAACATTTCATGTTATAAGCTGCCATCTTGGAATGGTTTCCTCTGCAGGAGAGGGCAATTTAGGTATTTAGTCAGGGGAAAGACACTCTTTTCAACAGTGTCAATGGTTTTTGTGCTGGGTAAATGCTACTCTCTGTAAATATAAGTATAGTGGTAACAAACTTATGAATCACCCTATATTTATTGGATGGAGCCTAAACTCCCCTTTGTTGAATTCCTTCACAAAATCTGAAACTGGATGTTCTTCAATAGAATCAGAGTTCATGCAGCCAACTCTCTTCAAGTTTTAGAGCAATAAGCATAAAGTAGAACTGCTTGGAGAATTTAATCTACACAATCAGACCTTTCTCTAATATGAATGAATTACTCACCTTGATCCATTCACATGCCTGAAGTGGGGGAACTTGCAAAGAAAGCTTCTCATCTTTCATTACTGTGTGAGCTACCACTTCTCCAGTGCTTCCTCTAATAAGCTTAATTGGTATCATCCACTTCTCAGTTCGAGCAGCTATGAACAAAAAAGAAAAAGAAAAGTTCAGCACATATGTTTGTCATGTTATTACAGTAAGAAAGACAAACCACAGCATCCTGAACTTCTCAAGGATCATACAAGGCATTGACTTACTTTCAATTTACAAAGACATTGAATAACTTTGTGTTTCTAAGCAAGTCCATGGTAATATCACCATGAGCAAAGAACTCATTTTCTGGCCTCTGATTGCTAGAGATCTCAGCCAGTCACAACACAACATATGTATGAAAAAAATGAGGGAGTCCTCAATTACCTCAGCTGAATTTTATTGCACCCTGAAGAGTCCTGTGGGAAGAAGTAGCCTGACAGCAGGTTTATACCTTACATATCATCAATATGGACTGAGCTTCGAACACAGAGGAGTCAAGCAAGGATACAAGGATATCTAGAATAAAAAATGGGTATCAGAGGGAGGGATACTAAAAGAGGTATGTAAACCCTACACAAAAAAAATTAAGACAATACAAGTACACAGAGTGAGCCACATAGGAGTTTGTCTCTGAATTTGTTAAGATGTGATGAGGCATTCACACATCAGTTCCAGATAATTTGCACAAGTCATTTTTCAGCTGGGCTTTTTCTGATGAGGAGCTCAAGTTCTCTGAGTAAGCACTGGCAATGGTAGCAAAATGTGACAGGAATTCAAGCTTCATTTGGCATTCCATGGTCAATTAGAACTTGTGTCATTCTTCTATTATATACAGCACTCATACCTGATTTAATGTGCAAAAATGTGAAACCCTACAAATGAAAGTAATTTCACAGGATTGGAGAGGGTTCAGAGGTACACAGCTAAAATGTTAAGAGGTGCAAGAACTTTCATATGAGGTGTTCAGACAAGTTGGGAATCTATTCATATTCGGCTCTTAAGATCATGACTATCTGTAAAGTGGTCTATTTGCAAAAAATTTCTGAAAAAAGTGTCGCTGGTTTTGGGCTTATAGGACCTTGTTCCTTTCATAGAAAATTATAGTTTTTTGGAATTAAGTAAAGGATGAAGTGCTCTATCGATACATACCACTTTTCTCAAATTTAACATGATGGTCACTGGAATATTCACTCATTTCATGTGGAGCTAATGGAAATAATTTTTTGCAGATAGACCACTTTGCCTTTCAGCCCCTCAATTCATCCATCACCAAAAAGTTTAGGAAATTCTAGCCCCCATTCGTTTCCCTTAGCCCTCCATTGGTGAATTCCTGGCTTTGCTGCTGGCTGTGACAAGAATAGACCAACTATACCCAGTAGAGGCATGTAATGTACATTGAAGTTCCTTCTTCTGAAAAATTTGTACTACATTTAAAAAAATATGTTTTTGCATATTTTCCCATATTCATGCATATTTCATACATATTATGGCAGTTTAAGCACTTATGTATGTGCATATTTTAGGACTTATTAGCGCATAAAAATCCGCTTCTTAGCGATGATATAATGGATACTACTTCTGTAACAAGGCTTAAGAAGAGGTAATGTCTTAATGGACAAAGCAACAAAAAAAAAGAAGCAAAGTACTTTTAAGTTACTTGGCAGAACATGGATATGCTCCTACTAAAAAACTTCATTTTTATAGGGAAGCCTATCATATATGAATGCTCAATCTTGATACAAGATTTCAACATCCTTGTTAGTCCTGGTGTCTAGGACTTTGACCTTTTGATTTTGATTTAATTTTATATAAATTCATCAGAGAATAAAATTCAGTTTTCAATAAGTGAAGACATGCAATGGAAGTCGACAGATCACTGGCATGAGTTCTGATAGACTCTTCAAAGTGATGGAGTCAATATTTAAAAGAGAATGTTAGGCATGAAAAAAAGTTGAGGACAACGGAGGATATGGGCAGAAATGCCTCTTGATCCCAACTTTGAACCTTGATTCTTACTCTGTATTAACAGAACACCACTAAATATTTTTCTCCAACTGGCAAAATCAACAGTAATGCCGAATTTGTTATCCACTGAAGAATTCTCCCTCTAGGATGGGCTTACATTGAACAGGAAGCCCCAGGAGAGTGGCATCAGCAGTATTCAAGGAGGTGAAGCATGCTTGCTGGAGCTGCACTTCCTGACCATCAAGAGTTGCAGAAATCACTGGAAAGCCCTTTTGACGGGTCCAAGTTGACATCATTGCAGCAACAGGCACTGAACTGCTTCCCTCTAGAGCTTCCCAAAGATTATCTGTCTGGGTGTTTCCATACTTATTCTTTGCCAAATAGGACTGCAACCCATTTGAAAAAGGCTGTTGAGAACATGAAGTCAAGTCACTCTTTACTGTCATCAATTACCATCCATTTCTGTAAGAACTTTAATATTCAAAAATAGGTTCTACCTCATCAGAAAGGAAGTCATGGAGCATGCGGATGATGGCTGCGCCTTTGCTGTAAGAGATGTTATCAAAGATCTCATGAACCTGAGCAGGATTCTCAACTTGCACTTCAACTGGATGACTATTCTCCAAGGCATCCATTTCCAAAGCAGGATTGAAGGCATCTTCCACAAACTGATCCCAAATATGAAATTCTGGATACAATCGATCAATGCTCAGGAACTCCATAAATGTTGCAAAACCCTCTTTCAACCACAGATCAGTCCACCACTCCTGAAAATAAAAGGATAGTTGGCAATTTGGACAACATGTATAGCACCCAAGAACCACAAAAGCCTTAATCCACAGAGAGAGATCTCACCATAGTCACCAGATTCCCAAACCACATGTGAGCAATTTCATGAGCCACCACAATAGCAGCTGTTTGCTTCATGATAGATGATGTGTTCTCTGGATCCACCAACAACATTGTCTCTTGATATGTTATCAATCCCCAATTCTCCATTGCCCCTGAAAAAAAATTTGATAAAAGTGAAGGATTCTAGCAAAAAGGGATATGTCAAAAATTCTGAAAAAAAGAAAGCCAATGACATCATTAAGTCTCTCTGCAACATGTTCCTTCTTCAAAAAAGGCATACTGACTGGAGAAGTCACATTTTCCTCAAAACTTAAATAGGAAATTATCATTAGCTTCTATCAATAGATGGAAATAGAGTGCATCAGAAATTAACATTTTATTCAATAGGAAGATGGTTCCTCATAAGAAATCTGGTATAGACTTGTACCAGTATAGACTGTGTCAACCTTTTCACTCCCAAACACCCATTTGAAAGACCATAGTAGAGCAATTGAAGTTACAAGAGCTACAAAACCTGAAAGAGGTGAGGCCACATGTTCTTCACACAGGATGACATAGGTTGCTAGCAGATATTACAAATGCTGCAACCCCAGGTACCTTTATAAAAAGAAAAAGAAGCTGGGAGGGTAAAAATAAAAGAGGAAGTACTTATGGCTGCAAATTTAAGCACCTCCAAGAACTTTCTCAGTATATCTATAGTGGGGATATATAGTCAGCCCATTTTCATAGAAAAATAATATATTTTAAATGCCCATTGGGTCCACATTCATTTCTTTTAAGGCTCACTAAAGCCAAAAGCATGGACACCCAAAATATGTCTAAAACATCAGATCTATAATACGTTGTGCAACAAAGTCTATAAAATGCATGTATGATTGTATCCTAAGTGTCATTTTTTAAATAGTGCTTCTTGTTTGCAATAAGTAAACATTTTTTACCAGCAATCTAACTGACACCATCTTTTTACTTCCATTGTGACCTCCTTCTCCCACTGATACTCTGGAGGCTCCTTGCCTAGTAGGATCACATATTACCTGTTTTTCTTACCTCCCCTTCATACTTGCACAAAATTTCAATATTGTCTGTGTTATTCTAAGTGGGAAAATGTACAAGATGATCCAAAAGTAGTTGATAGTTATATATTTAATTGAACAAGAATTGCTGAAAAAAAAAAGGAGCATGAGTTTGATAAACTTAAATATGTACACTGTCATTTCAACAAGTGCCAGCCACCCGCACACTGTCTCACTGTCAAAATTAAAATCTCTGCACTAATTCCTTGGGCTTAAGAACTATCAGAGAGTCATTTTTCCAGCTGATCAAAGACCATCACGCAATGTGGCATAAGCTTTAATCCTGATACGTTTCTCCAGAAAGCAATTAATTTTTACACTAATGTATTTAACTCATGATTGGGATCATTCACACAATCCCAAGAAAAGTATTCTAAGACTTACAATTGGGATCTCCTCAATTCCAAGAATAATGGAGTACATATTTCTTTATTTTGGACACCCATAGACCCACAGTTTTTCTTTCATTTGGACAATACTGATGGCTGTTGTCATGGCAACATATTTAAAGGGATGCCAATAAAACCTGCTAGGCACAGTTCACTAATAGCAGGTGTGTCAAACTGGCCTGCAAGCTGGATCAGGCACGCCAATTCATTTTCTCCAGCCCACAAAGTCCTCTTCAATGGTTGGTTTTGGGAAATCGCTGCAAATTTCACTTGTTCCCATTAAAGATGTGGTGTATGTGGTGTGAGATTTGTTAGTGAGGCCCCCAACTACCCCTGAACCAAATCATTTGATCCCCACCAAATTGAGTTTGACACCCCTGACTTAATGCATTTAAATCTGCCTTTTAAAGGTTACCAGAAAATTACTGACTAGGAAGAAAGAGTGGTTAAAGCACATGCATGAAGCAAGACTGTCTTCAAAGTTGCTTTGAAATATATCTTACCACTGATGACTGTGAGAGCTATCATATCAAGCTTCGGCAATGGATATGGAATCTTGAAAAATTTGTCGTAAAATGGAAGGACTCTGGCTGCAACCTCAAGGCCAAAACGCCCTTGCTCTTTCTTTCCTGGAGATGTATATACTCGAACCTGAAAAGAATCAAACTCCAAGTACACCTACTATAATTGCAGTGAAAGGTGAACTGTTAACACTGCCAAACAAGTACAGGTCTCCAATGAAATATGCCTATTAAATGTATAAGAATAAGTACATATAAGTCTACCAGAAGACTAATACTAGACACAACTCATACCATATTCTTATTGATCAAATACCAGCAATGATGCATATACCTGGATATCATTTACATGATCTTCAATGAATTCAAAATCTCCTACAGCAATGGCAATCAGGTATGATGACATCAGAGGAGTCCTCTTGAAGTGAACTACTTCAGAACCATTTTCCAAAGATGTTCGTTCTTGTTCAGGCTAGAAAATGATTATTCATTCACATTCATTGTCAAAAGATAGAACTCACAAAAAATGTCAGTCCTACTTAAGCACATACCCATCTGCAACTTGAAAAATAACCAGTCAAAATGACTATTTGACTGTATTTTTTCATTCTTCTTTATGATTTTTATTTATTTACTCATTTTATTATTTTCTTGGTATTTATAGCAAGGAATCATCTAGAAAGGAGAGTCAGACTGTGAATAGAGAAATAGTCTAAACAAGCAAAACTATCTACCCATTAGGATACTGGAACCATACCATAATCATCCACTTTGAAGTTACAGAACTAATAAACTGAGTTTAAATATACAATTCTAATTTAAAAAAACTGAATGATGGAGGCCAGGATAAGAAAGCACAATACCCTGCTCAGATCCTGAACCCCAAAACTGTCTGGCCTATGGGGAATCAGTCTCCCACTCCCTTAGCCTTTGAAAAAAGGCTAAGGGCTCAGGATCTGGGCAGGCAATCGTGCTTTCCTATCCTGGCCTCCACTCCTGTTGTTTGTTTTTTTTTTTTTTTTTTTGGGGGGGGGGGGGAATGGTACAGTTCATATCACTTCTGAGAGCTCTCATGAGTGTCCCAAAGGTAACATCCAAAAGACTTTTTCTCTCCTGAAACATCACATGACATTAATGCTGTGACAAAAGGGCAACTTGCAATTTTTTTTTAAGCTTTCATGGGTAAGAAATTGCTCTTTTCTCTAGATGAAGAAGATAATTGAGGAATGCTCAACTTCTTAAGGAGCTGAGACCACTGAACCTTGGTGCAAATCAGAATATTTATCAAGTGTCACATCTTCACCCTTTAAAAAGGAAAATTATAGCTATCCTAGAAAATGTCAAAATTGTATGTTCACCCATTCATCAGATCTTTGAGGATATGTAGTAGGAGTTTAACCAAAGGTGCTACTGGATATGTAATAAGAGATCACCATTGCCTTGACTCACCATGTTGGACAATACAGTCTTTCCTTGCTCAGCTTGGACATCAATGTCAAAATATGCCTTGAAGGAGGGCTCATCCCAGCATGGGAATGCTTTACGGGCAAATGTTGGCTCAAATTGAGTGACAGCGCTGAAGAGTGTTACTCCATCAGGTCTGTGTAAGAGGTGGATTTTTACAATAGGGCAAAGGCACTCACTTAGTTGCAGAAGTTTAGAGATTTATGGTGAAAGCAAAGCCAATCCCTACAACACAAAAGCATGCCAAATGGTTATTCCTAAACAAATCAGCCAGAGGGTGAGCCCAACTGTCTCCAATTTTGATCAAATTGGCTGAGATAGAGAGGAATCAATGTCATAAAATCAATTTGAACCATTTTAAATGCATATTTTACATTTCTCTGGATATTGGTATTTGAATGCCACCATTTTGGGCTCATGGCATGTATCCAGACAGAATTTATTGAAGCGTTTCATCAATAAACAGAATTTAATGACACCAACCTCCAGATTACTTTGGGGTGTATGACCATTTGGCTGCAACAGCAGAGCCACTTCGACCAATTTCCCCACTTGCCCTCAGAAAACCCAAACTCTAATAGCTTATTCATGTAAGCTATAAGAGCTCACATAATTGTCACGTATATACAGCTTAACAATACGAACTGAAAGATTTGCACTCAAATGCTTTATGAGCCATGAGCACTTCAAGATCAACATCAGTGAAATTTTGATAAAGAGGGCCTTAGTGGCACCCATTTGGGTCAATTCTGTGCAAGTCATGAACTTTGTGAGTAGGCATTCAAAACTATTATCGGTGTCCCCAGGGAACTTGTTGCTAAATCCAGAGAGTGTCCTGCAACAAATCTTCTCATGTTAGAACAGTAATTTGAAGAGCATGATCTAGCTGTGATGCCATGTTGAATACTTAGGACTTTCTGTAGATTGAAATTTTTTCTGTAGTCATCTTTCGGTACTGTTGATCATGTTTCATATCCATCCTCTGGACTAACCAATAAGTTACCCCCTGGACACTCATGGCAAATCTGATCTGGTCTCCCAATGAGAAAGTTCATGACCCAAGTACCATGAAAAGCACAAAAGAGACTTGAATGGGTGCTACTCTGGACCTCTCAATAAGACTTTCATTGATGAGGTTTCTTGAAGATTTTCCATCTCATAAAGCATATGCTTACCTTGAACTTGGTGTCACTGAAAAGAACATAATATGCAATTTTGAATGAACAACAGGGCTTAAAATTCTTTTTGGATGGGCTAGTGGCTTACATTAGATAGTAGGAATAGCTAGGGAAATGTGCTTCAAGGGTAATATGAATCACAACATTTGGTTTACAACTAATTCGTGATGTGAAGGTCTCCATTTGGTTACAGGAAGCAATATTTATAGCTGCAACCTTCAGGATATGTTGAGTGCTTGCCAGTACAATTGAGTAGTGATTAGATCTGATTTTCTCTTGTCTTCAAAATAAATTCCTTTTTCCATTTGGAATGAGAAAATCAAATTTTTACATGTGCACTCACTACTGTAGCTATGCCTACCATACTATACATACATAAGAAAAATTCAGTGTTGGTAAGGTTTCAGTGAGACTTTTCTTTCTTGCATATGGTTGCAATTCATATTATTCAACACTTTTATGACATGTTGAGTAATATGGATTCACAATGTCAGGTAACATGAGAAACCAGCAAATCACCCCGTTGTGATTCTCATGTTTTAAATAATGAAAATGCCCCAAAATTATTTTCTGAAGATTGTGCAGTGCCAGTATACGTCTGAATCTACTATGCCAGTGGGATGAGTTCACACACCTTGTTTTTTTTAATTTTTTTTTTATGCATATGAAATTTTAAATGCATATACAATCCAACAGCTGATGGTCCAAAAGGCAAGGAACAATACCTAATTGATAACTAACATTCACCGCTTGGATATTAGTACCCACAATGAATGGATGGCTTTGGAATGAAAAAGGTAATTGGTGAATCATATCTCCCCGGGTAAGATTATATGATACTAACTTAACCTGGTCTTCACATTGCTTCTCATTCATAGCTTCTCTGAATAGGATATGATATTAAGAAGTTGGGAAATATTAGCCAGACACTGAAACTTTTGAGTGAATGGCTATTGTCAGTTGGATATTTCAAAGCCATTTTAGTATTTAAATGAAAAAAAAGAATTTGTCGTAGTAAATCAAGTTCCCCTGGTTAAGTAAGAAAATTGGCAGAAGTAGCTTCCTTGGGCCAATATTTTGGCACTGCTGTTGCAGTCAAATGGTCATATTTCCTAAAGCAACTGCAGGTCAATCTAAAAGATATCATTGAACAGTGCTCAATGAACTAGGAGAACTGTGTATGTATAGAGGGGAAAGTATTGATATCAGTAGAAAAGTTTTTATCAAACTTTTTAACTAAGTGGCATTTTTCATTGCAATCTTGGAATTTTTTGTATCACATCATTGGAACTTTACAATTAAAAGGATACCAGAGTGAAGCTATTGTCTCAATCAGGAGAGATCTTATTGTATAAAAACTTCTAAATATCCAGTTCACATCAGTCAAAAGCAGGTGAGATGTCAATGCAGACATCTGGAAAAGGGTATCAGGTATAGAAAATTATTGAACTCACTGAATGAAATCAATTCTTCTCCATATCTTATTTCCATCAAAATTTGAGACAATCTGGCCCACTCTGGCTGAGCTGGCATGGAATGACCTCAATCCAAAAATGAAGCAAGCCCCAATGCCACAGCTGGAAAATGCATTTCAGTACAAACCTGTCAAATTTACATCGATAGAGTCCTTTCATATCATCATCAAGGATCCCCTTGAATCTGATCTTCAACACACCATCACCAGTGACTTCTTCAGGGAGATAAAGTGTGAGTATTTCAGATGCATGAGAGATTTCAGTTGGCTGCAACTCTTTTCCATTTCCTGTAATGAACAATGCCTCAAGGATCTCTAATGCCAGAGCGTTTAAACTGATCTGAGTCACTGGATGCACCATCTGGAAAAGGAAATTATTTGGTAGCATTGGCCTATGGTATGATGAGCCTACCAGGCCCTGTGCTATTGATTATGATGGTAATGCTTACCTGTACTGCTATTTCCACACTCCCATCAAATAAGAAATTCTGCAAATCAGGCCTCAGGGAAACTTTGTAAACCTTAGGAACAACAGTTTTGGGCAACCGATGCCCTGACAGGGTCTGCTTGTTTATTATCTCCATTTGTGTGTCCTGCAGGGAAAAACAGAGACATGTACTGCTTTTAAGGACCATATCATGGCAGTATGTGCAAGATTGGCTTGTTGAATATGAAGTAAGGAGGGATGCAAAATGAGTAACCACTAAATGAGAGACTCATAATAACCCAGTATGGTGCCCCTTACCTCCCCTTTCCATGTGCAGGGATGTAGCCAGAAATTAATTTCAAGGGGCCTGACTTTTTCAAACTACATAGACTCAGAAAAAGTCTGTAGACAAAGCTAACTGTGTGAATGGGAATGAGGAAGGGGGGGAGGTTAGTAAGAGATGGCAATTTGCTGCAGGGGAGCTAAGGTTCCATTATATTTTCCTTTTTCTTTATTTGTTTTTCCTTATTTCCTGTGCGGAAATGACTTTTAGTCCCTCAGTTAGAATGGCACTTTGTAGCTTGCCAAAGCTGCTTGCACTTTTGATATGTTGGGGAGGTTTCCAGCAGCTCCAAATGCTATTTTTCTAATTTCTTGTCATCTAGTTGGGGAAGAATTGGCAAGAATTCAATTCAAGTGCATGTAGGATTTGACTACTTCCAAAGTTTCCTTCACATATTTGAAACAATAACTTTTGATCAGTCTGCCACCTTTCTGAAATAAAATTTTAAAACTGTCATCTTTGTTGCACTGATGACATATTTTTCTCCTGATCATGAATGCAAGGCTGTCTGGGTACTTTCTCTTCAAGGGCAGATCACATCATCTGCATACAATGTAGACTCCAAGGTAGGGTTCCCTCATTTTTTCAACCAGGTCAGCAATAAAAAAACAGGAATAGAGTTGGCTTGAGAGTCTCTTCTTGGATAACTTCTATTTAGTCAGATGTGTGGGGTAGTAAATAAGCAACCAAAAGAAGCTGATGGTATTCAAGTTTAGGGTGACTCAGAATTTGGTGGTCTATGGTGAATTGGAGTAATCTATGAAAGCTGCATGATGAACACTATCCCTGCTGAGCTACCCCGAGTTTCAATAACTAAGATGAGTATTCAGAGGTATTGCACAAAACATTTTACTGAAACCATGTTGTTGATGAACTAGTTTAGCCCCACAGTTGTCAGTGTGTTAAGGAGCCCTAAAAAGATATTCATTGTACAAGGTAACAGGGCTGTATTTGTAACTGTTTTGGTCATGAAGTTCACCTTTCACTGTCGAGTGCATTCACCAAGCTGGTCTTCCAAGAAGATAGTAGTGTCAGTGGATTAACAGAAGTGGAGAGCTTTGTCCATAAGACAGCTAGAGAGTGTGCAGAACCTTTAAGATATTTGTTGGTCATAGAATCAGCTCCTGGTGCTTTTTGCAGAATCTGGGCATAACTGCTTCAATTAGAGCATTTTCTGAGAAGGGTTTGTGGTACCATGCATTTGCATGCTCAGTTACATGTTCATTAGGGGCTGGTTGACAAGTCAGGAGTTCCCAGGGGATAGAGCAGTGGGAAGACCATTAGGAGACATTCCTTTGCATCAGAGTGCAGAATCTCTTCTGTGACCAGAGCATCCAATGGCTGTACCTCATAGTTCTTTGAGGGGGCATCCTAACAATAGGATGCCATTTACTGTCCCGTCATGGGTTTTTATTGCCTGGACGAATCAAAGTATACGGAAGAGGGAATCAAAATGTTCAACATATCATCTATATAATAATTACCTACGTTTGTCCTCTTGCCTGTCTGTCCGCCGGAGACCTGCATGGGTCTATTTTTCCGAACCCGATCCCATCTGACCCGAAACACAATCGCCGACCGAGCTTTGCGGCCCGACCCACGGATCGTGTCGGGCCGACCCGCAGTCCGTTTAGACCTCCAAGTTTCAAAACTCGAGGTCTCAGATGAAGTATTCACTCGCACCCGACCGAAATCTAGATTGCCAACCCTACACCCCCGATCCGCGGGTCGGGTCGGTCCTAAAGAGCCAATCCACATCCCGTTCAGGCTGAAAGGCGCATTCCCCATTCCAACAATCCCCAATCCAACAACTGGGAGCTCGAAATTTGCGAACGTGTCTCACGGGGCGGAACTCGCCGAAAATTTTAATGCTGGTAATTGGGGTCTCCTTGATGACGAAAACCAACCCCTATTATTGATCCAAAGCGTGATTGAAATTCGAATGTTGTTTCTTTAGAATACTATGGCCCACAAAACTCACACAAAATCGCTACAAAAGGGAAATTAGGAATCTTTGATGATGTGATCCATCCCCCTTCTCCATCTGATAACTGGGGGTTCTAAATTCGTTTGTTTTGTCTCATTTGAATACTATGGGAGAAACTCCCCAAATATTGGTATTATGGGGAAATTTTGGTGGGGGGATGCGGAGAAGCACCAAATATTATTGATCAGAACTCTGGCTATTCAAAATTCCAGTGGTGTGCCTCATTTGAATGCCACGAGACAGAATTCCATTAACTTCAATTAAGAAGACATGAATGCTTCACAGGTAACAGCTAGTTCAATAGTAATATGATTTTAATCTTTATCCACTTGAATTATTCATCAAACCAGGGTTGCAGTTTTCTGTATTTCTAGGTTATGGATGGAGCAGCATCTATTATTGCACTGTAGAGATGTGATAGGGCTGAATCTAGTTTGTTTTCGATTAAGCTGAAGCTTGCACAAAGGACATGAGCACTTTCAATAAGGCACTCAGTTACAACCTTTTTCATATTTTTTGGCAATCCTTCAGGTGTCTGGCATATTTCACAGTAGAAATCAAATCTCCATCTAGTGATAACTGGTTGATGTTTCCATACAAGGGAGGAAAAGACAAGTCACACTTTGATACACCTGAGGGTCACAACTTGCTTCCCAGACCAGTTAGTAAATGTCATGCCAATAAAGTTAATGCTTTTTGAACACAAATAAGATGGTCTGTTAATGTTAATAGTCAGTTGAAAGATAGCATCTTTTATGATAGTGGTGATGCTGCCATCTTGACAGGAAGATCTATCTATCTTACCATTGAAATCATCAATGACTACAATTGGTTTATCCCAGTTATGAGTCCTAATATTTTCAAGATTTCTTCACCAACAAGGAATATGTTAGGCTTTGATTGAAAGTAGAAACAGATAAAAGTAGCTGGTGTGGTGGGCATCACAAGAGAATGGCCTATTTTCATGTTAGATAGAAACCTAGTTTTCAGCTACAGTAATTCCCTTGAGGGTCTGTCTTGAGGTGACGTGCCTGCCAATGGACAATAAACATAATACAGAGACAAACATATCTTCCATGAGAAGTGCCTGTTACCCTTTAACTACTGAGTTTTAAAAAGTTGGGCACCCACCAGTGCTGAGTGTTCAGTGTGCTCCATTTCGCAGTGATTTAAAGAAGATCCTGAGGTCAATTATATTAATTTTTTTGCAGATATTTAAAATTTAGTCTCTTTCTGTATCTTATTTGTCTAGCTTTAGATGTCTACTGATCTACTAAACACACTGAACCAGTATACTAGACAGTCACAGAGAAAGGGTTAATATATTCATGTCACATGTGGAAAAAAAAATTAAGTTCCAGAGATTAAGTGACTGTATTTCAAGCCTTCACATGCCAACCTGGACAAGTAGCAATGACACATTTCTGTATTTCTAGCATTTTGGATTTGTGGACCATCAAAGGACTCAAGCTTCAACAGGTTCTTCCATTCCTGTGGGTAAAACTTGTGGGTAAAGAGAGGAATGTTGAAGATGATATATCTTGCCCTTTATAATTGGAAAAAAAGATTAAGCACCACTTCAAGAGGATGGGCTGATGCAAGGAATATTAATTCGTCACTATACATTATGAAGGAAAAAATCTAGGTCACACACAAGCAAACAAAGTTCATGAAAAGGAAAGTGAGTTGCATTGCCATAATCATGGATTATAATTAGAATCACGATCAGAATTATTCATTTTCAAAGTTTAAAATGCATGTAAAATGTTTTCATATTTTTAAAAATCACTTTTTGGATGCAGAAAATTCAGCAATGACAATACTGACATCATATGCGTCCCTCTGGTAAGCAGGTTACATGAGCATCATATGGAGATCATTTGCAGATAAGACAGGTTTTCCTTATTCCTGGGGAATAAGAAAAATCTTATCAAAATGTTCATCCCAGGGGAAAAGCATGATGCAAATATTAAAAATGGCAACTAAATCAGTGAGCACACCAATAATAAAATTATTTTATAAGAACCAAACTAAAACTATACTAAAATACTGCCACAACACAGAGTGCAATAAATACTTAATGAAAACAATGGCTGACCCACACTGCAACTAATCTGGAAGTAAAACTAAAAACGAAGAAGGCCATTTGGAATAACTCAATAGTTGACCTTAAAACAACAGTTCTCAACCTTTTTCAGCCTCCAAGACCTGATTAGGAAGCTTCTAAAATGAATGCAATAATTTTGAAAACAATAGTTTTCCAGTTGGCATGGAGGTACACACCTTTTTACAATTTAATTATTCATTTTTCTGTTATTTTTTGGCCTGGGGATATTTTTGTGGACCTCTAAGGGGCTGTGGGTCCTCAGTCAATATATGCGGCTCTAGACTCTGTGCTACCTGAGAGGACAAACCTTCCCAATCACAGTCCAAGCAGGACACAATGTAATTTATCATTATAACCCAGGGGGGACTTCTGATTCAAGTGGTGGCTCATGAATGTAGCTGTGGGTTACATACATGGTGATAACAGAAAGTTTGAAAGGAGCATTCAAACCACTCCCATCATATACTTCAATGGTAATATTTGGATCCCAAGTATGGAATCCATATTTAGAATTTCTATACTAC